TCAGAAATATTCATCCTCCCACTCGACACATTTACTTTGCTCTGTGAAGGCTAACGTAGGTCTTTGAGTGTTTTGACGTTTGGCATAGTAAGGTCCTGTGGTCACCTGAAATTGGTGTCGGAGTTCCATATTGTCCAGAGGTGTTGCGTAAATCTCCTCGGCACCTTTTGTTTGTTTACGCACGACTGCGTATTCATCGTTGTTGACCACATAGTGTTCGACGTCATCACTAAATCTATCGGTAAAAACCCTATGGGTTTCCATGGGTTCCATTTTGAGCGACGACTGCTGGCTAGCTGCCTGAGACCGACAAGAACTGCTTGGTCTCGTATCATCGTCCTCGTCGAGGTCAAGACTAGCTGGACCTACTGACGCCCAACTCTTTCTGGGTGTTTCCATAGCCACTGCTGAATAGAGTCCGCTGATGGAGCGTGTAGGAGTGCCCGACGGTGATAGGGCGGTTACACCTCCATTTCGTAGATGACTCTTGTCTTTTTCGAGGGTACCTCCACCTCTTTTGCTGTAAGAGGAACGGCCACCTTTCTTTCGTGAGTCGCTGCAACTTCTGTCTGAGTCGGACCTGGGAATTATGGGGCCTTCTTCGTCGTCTCCTCGGGGGAAAGATCCCATTGGCGTGTCTTCACCTTTTCGGAGCAATGCTCTCTCACTGGATTCGATGTGATATTGTCCGGCTTGATAGTATTTCACGTAACTGAAACGAGAAAAAAGATAAGGCTGTGTAAATTTTTAGACTACGTAATTAATAATCAGTTGGTATATAATCCAAATGAATCCTAATGATATAAAATATTAAAACGGATCCACAAAAAGAGCTCAATGTATTTATTATAACAGAGCATATAAATTACATAGAAAGAAAACCAATGTTCCCTCATTCGAATAGCTATTTCCGCCCATTTCTTCTTTTTCTTCTTCTTTCTTTCATTTTCGTCTTTCTCTCTTCTTCTTTATTTAGTATTTAAATGATTAAATTTTAAGCTCTCATTTTATTTCTTCACACCTCTGCGATGATAAGGCCTATAAGTAAGTCTTGTGGGCCGAAATAGCTATACGAATGAGGTAATTTTGGATTTCTGTTCTATGTAATATATATATATATATATATATATATATATATATATATATATATATATAAGTTTTATTAAAGTCAACTGACAAGTTGCTACGATTAAGCCTTTTATTCAATTTTGTTGTGTTCGTATAAGTATTTTCTTTACTGAACATCAGTCAGTTATGTGCCATGCGTGATATACGCTTGGGCGATCATGTTTCGATACATGACTGACCGCAGTACTTTGCCATTTCTTTCTGCGGTAGACCAGTTGAACTCGGTCTGTCCTGCTGTTTACCCATAGCTGGGAGGAGAAGAAAAGGATTCATACCTTTCCCAAGGGTATTAATACATAAGTGAATGTAATGGATCTGACTGGAATTCGAACTCGGTTCTCAATCCGAGCCGCTATCCATTATTCCACCGCGCCTTTCTGGATATTGATGTCTCTTCTCACCGGACATAGAGTGTGTAAAACAGAGCACTTTTGGTTATTCTTTAAGCCATTATCAAGGATGTTTTTATTTTTAACTGAATATGTAAATTTGTATATATTTATATAAAAGGATGGGTGTTTTGTTTTTTTTGTTTTGTTTTGCTTGAAAAACACAATCAGCTTATTTTGGCCTTTTTATAGTTAATATTACTGAGTGCTGTCTTTATCCTTTTTTATTATTAATCATTCCATTAATTTTAGCCTTTTTAACATGTGGATGAGACTGTGAAAGTGGCATTTTCAATGAGGAGTTTGTGGATGCAAACTGATAGGTTTCAGTGTGTGTTTAAACGAGTTGGTATTGAACAATGGTAAGAGAGATGTCACGTGATTCTTCTTAATACGTCTAATATAATTATGCTTATTATTTTTTTTTTAAGCCTTTCACTCCAAGCAAGGCGGGAGTGCCACTAGTACGCAAAGGGTTACAGAGAGGGAGAGCAAGACTAAAGAGGCGCGTTTGAGATGAAAGGATAAAAAAAGGACCGGTAAAATCAAGGATCAAGGCAACAGAAGATGTCGATTGACATTACACTTTAATATTTGAAGATTATAGGTATCAGGGAAGCAAGTAAGTGGTAGGGAGTTACAAAAACGGGAAGCGCGAGATAAGAAGTAGAAGAGACGGCTACATTTAATCGTTTCGACATTGAAAAGGATGGACCGAGATGCCGACCTAGTGGCACGCTTAAAATCATGCAGTTTAGGAACCAGCGAAAGTAGCTCGTCGGAGAGGTTCCCGTGAATATACTTGTAGAAATGACAGAGGGAAGCAACGGCAAGTATGCGAGAAAGTGAATGTAGATGAGCTTGAATTTAGGTTCATTAAGGGACATGCCAATTCATAAATAATTAATCTCTGTAATTTAGGATCTTGCAGGTTAGTTTTTGTTGACGATAAGGTTAGGTGTTTTAAACAACAACAAAAAAAAACAAAAAACAAAAAAACAAAACAAATCACATCAAAAATAACATGAAAGATAAGGAAAAGAATACCAACCTACAACAATCAACCCAAATCTATAAACTTTGCCCGGAGATTAAAAAAGAAATAGCCATAATTACCTCTCCAGATCAAAACAAACTACAAAACAGTCCCAGCTGGATTTCGAACTCGACAAGCCAAGGCCACTTTACTAGCTGATAATACCTACTCAGCTTGCAATAAGCCCCTGTCAAAATCTCTTAATGTTTCAACTTGTTGCTAATTTCCAATAAGTTCTTTCTTTTTATGTGCCATCTTTCTTCAGGACATAGGCAGTCTTGCCTCTCCATTTCCCCCTATCCTTTGTAGATCTTAATAAGTCTCGTCCTTTTGCCTCCTCCCGCTGACTACGTTGTCATCCACTTGCTTCAGCTCGCCAGGTATGTCATGCGTTGCTTTTCCTTGTCGCTCTTTCCGTCTATTCGACCTGTTAATATCAGATTTTCCAGATCCTCCTCTTCTGATTACGTGTCGCAGAAATTTCATCTGCCTCTTCCTGATGTTAAGTATAAACCTCCTCCTTGTTTGCACCTTCTCCAAAACCTCTCTGTGGCTCACACATTCGGTCCATGATATCCTATGTGTCTAATTAGTCTTAGAAAAACTAATTTTGTAGAAAGAGCTTTTTTGTTTAAATCTAGCCCATAAGCAATCAATCAGTAGTGGAAATTGTTTGCATCAAGATATATTCACCGCTGGTCTTATACGAAGAATAATTTTCAGGAAGAATCGGTCAAGTGTTCAGCTGATCATGTGCATTCTATGCTATGCGTGAAATCTTTCGATACATGACTGAGGCAGAGGTTTTTTTTCTCTTTTTCCGCAGTAAGTTGCCATTTCTTTCTGCGGTAGACCAGTTGCCATCCAAGGCTATAGAACCTAATTGTCCAGCTATTTACACAGGAGAAGAAGAGGATCCATGACCTTCCCAAGGGTATTAGCACGTAAGTGAATGCAATGTATCCGACTGAAATTCGAACTCCGATTCCTCAATTCGAGCCGCTATCCATTATTCCAGCGTGCCACTTACAGAACGTAAATTATCAATGTTTACTAGAACACTATTCGTGACAATCTAGAATGTCCATATTATGCGAGTCCATATTGGGGATTTTCTGACAGGCTGCAAGTGAGAAGAGATGAGTGGGGATATGTGTGAGAGAAACGAGGAAATGATTTAAGCACAGCCTTAAGAATAGACCACCAGATTATCGCCCTAAATATTGAATAGTGGGAGAATGAACAATCAAACAGTTTTATCAAAATAGTTGTCATTGTGAGATTCATAGTCTAATTTTTTACGTACCAATGTAAAAGAAGATATGAGTTTGAAACCTCTATGGAACAAATAACTACTTTAAAACATATATATCTTTAAACTTATTATTCTGACCCTTGCTAGTAATACTGCAAAGCTTCAATTAATCTCAGGAATCCGTCCACATTAATTTTGAGTGACATATAACTAGTTGGGGTTTACGAAATTTCGATCTTGAATTTCGAACTTGCTAAGCGCTTAACAAAAGGCAACATGGAGCAATCGCCTTCCTAGTACATTGCCGAACTAGTAAACAGAAAAAAATGAGGTTATATTCAGCGTAGTGTTAATTGTGCTGACTCTGATATCAAGGGATTGAAAGATTCCAATTGGCTGTGTTATATTTGCTACTCTTGTGGCCATACCCTACCGTCCCGACAGACTCGCTAAACAAGCATTCAACCCCATGTTGTTTCTTTTTAAGATGGTTTGTCGTGTTAGCTGAAGCGGCCATATTCAGGATATGCTCACAAGAGGATATAGTCGGCAAAAGATTCACTTGTACACCCCGAATATAACAGCAGCCAGTATATGCGTGGAGAATCCAACTTTATTTTTCTAACAGCAGTTCTGGTGGGGTGGCAGGTCATATAACACTGTGGCTCGATGTGGCAACCGGCGGCCACTCTCTATTAACCTGACGACACTTTCTGTACTGACAAAAAACACCCACTTCTAACAAGTCTTCTGTTATATATCTATGGTCCAGTTACCTAAACACTTAAACATCTGATTTTTGTACCCTCTGCGTACGTGTAGATTTATATAGACAACACTATTATTTACTCAACTCTACTTAAATTTAGTATGTTGCATAATCGTAATATTATCATTTATTCGATTTTCAGTAGGTGATATAATAACTTCAGAAAATAAATCTCAATACAGCCAGCCTAACAGTGTTACACTGTGACCAAAGGTCATCGGGGTAATACACACAGCGGATGCGTAACTAATTTAGTGAATAAAACCCCTGTGACGAATATAGGGATAAAATCAAATTCAGATTATAGAGGGATTTTACAATCCTACGCTTTGTAAATTTTATAAGTATAAGAAGACAAAGGAAGTGAATAAATGTATTGTTCTCAATAAATATGAAAAATCGTTTGATAGACTTTCTTGGACTGCAAAAAGTAAAAATGCTATTGCAGATGTTGAATGCGTTATTCCTGAAATGTCGAGGTTAAAATATTTCCAGCGAAATATTATTTCCGTGTCTTCAAGTTCGTTTTGCAGTAAAAGTATCGATGCTCAAAATTTCTATCTTTTTTTATTCTTTTGTTGTTTATTGGCGCACGTATTTTACAAGTAGAAAATAAAAAAAATAATAGTAACATTTTCTATTATCAAGAGGCGTTTATTTTTGTTTCCGGCTAGGAAGCGATCTCACTGATAGTAATCTTGTTAGAAAAACCGAGAAAATAACCGTGATTCCAAGAACGATGTAACTACAAATAACTGCCAAGGGATTTCTGAGAGCCACTCTGCCTCCAGGTTCCAAAGCAAAACCTAAGAATTTTTCTTCGAGAATTTGACATTTTCCCGTAATGTCGTTTATTGATGTAAATAATATGGAGTCAGAAAACGATTTTTTTCCTCAAGAGTCCAACAAATATTCTCTTCCCAGATAATAAATGCGCCTTGAAAGATGACTATAGATTTATCATTTGTTTTCGAACGTAAGGCCATATTCCTGTTAAATATGTACACATGTATGAATTATAAGAAAGAAAAGAGACAGATTTCGACACTGAGCGAAAAATACGCACAGGAAAAACTGAGCGAGTAATAATAATAATAATAATGTAGAGCTGGCCACTCGTATTTGAGGATAACCG